TCTGTGTGATTATTTTGGGGCTAAGCAGCTGAAAACAACCAAGCAGATCTCTCCTCAAACATAAAAGAAAGGCTTTTGAATTGTTTTGGTAGACAGGGTTCAAACATATGAAAGAAATTAATACATATTTTTAAAATGTATGTAATAATTAGTTCCATGAAATTTTTGTTCTGTGATATTATGAGGGTAGGGTTGGATTATGGAGACTTTATACTGATAGGTGGCTGAGAAGGCAATAAAAAGAGACCAGGCCCAATTAAGAAGTAAATTTCTTTCCTGAAAACTAACAAATTCATTCACACCCCTTTGCTATTTGTTCTTCTCTCCAGAATAGAATATTTGTTAGATAAATGGGTGAATGCACAGATGGATAAATGAATGGATAGATAGAAATAACGAGTTCCAATACTGAGGACTAACCACAAGGCCTCACACCTGCTTAGCAGCCTTCTAATTGCTGAAATTAACTAAAAGCTTTCTGTGTAGAATATCTTGCCCTATCTCTTAAAACAGGTTTCTCCTTCCCTTCATTTAAACCTAAACTATAGAATTATAGTTACTTCCCTCTGTCAAATCTAGATCACAATATCCAAAGAGAGCCACCAGTTTGCCAATACCTACCATCTTCCAATTGTCTTTAAAAATAAGATTTATTTTATTTTTACAATTCTGAGTACTTTGGCTGTGTTTATTTAAGTATATCACATACATACTTGGTGCCTGTAGAGGTCAGAAGATCTCACCTAGTTCCTGAGAATTGAAATCATGGGTGGTTGTAAGCTTCCATGCTGGTTCTGGAATCCAAACCCCAATCCTCTGCAAGAGGAATAAGTACTCCTAACTATGGTTGTTGTGTTTTGGGATTTTGATTTGTTTTTAAGTATTTGGCTCATCGGGGGTTGTACCACCCAGCTCCCAGATGAATACACATGAAGTCTTATTCTTGCTCATAAACACCCAACCTTAGCTTGGTATGTTTCTACTCAGTTTTTCTTAGTTTAAATTATCCTATCTTTCCTTTTCTTCTGGGCTTTTATCTTAATCTATTTCTGTATATCTTTCTTTATTTCTTACTCCATGGCTTGAAGTGTAGCAGGGTGGCTGGACCCTAATGTCCTTCTCCTTATCTTGTTCCTCAATCTTTTCTACCATTATAACGCCTCCTATTTGTTCTCTCTGCCTGCCAGACCCAGTATTTTTCTCTTGCCTAGGAATTGGCTGCTTAACTCTTTTTTAGACCAATAAGGTATTTTAAACATGCAGAGCAACACAGCTTTATGGAATTAAACAAATGCACCATGAAGGAATACAGCACACCTTTGAATCATGAAAAAAATAAGCAAATGTAACACATCTTTTTTTTTAAATTTATTTTATTGAGCCATCCATTTTTCTCTGCTTCTCTCCCTTCCCCTTCCCTCCACTTCAACCTATTCCCATGGTCCCCATGCTCCCATTTTACTCAAAAGATATGGCCTTTTTTTATTTCCCATGTAGATTAGACACATGTGTATGTCACTCATAGGGTCCTCATTTTTTTCTAGGTTCTCTGGGATTGTGAATAATAGGCTTATTTTCTTTGCTTTATGTCTAAAAGCCACTTATGAGTGAGTACATATTGTATTTGTCTTTCTGGGTCTGGGTTACCTCACTCAATATGATGTTTTCTAGATCCATCCATTTGCTTACAAATTTCAAGATATCATTTTTTTTTCTACTGTGTAGTACTTCATTGTGTAAATGTACCACATTTTCCTTACCCATTCTACAGTTGAGGGGCATTTAGGTTGTTTCCAGGTTCTGGCTATGGCAAACACTGCTGCTGTGAACATAGTTGAGCACATGTTCTTGTGGTATGATTGAACATTCTTTGGGTATACCCAAAAGTGGTATTGCTGGGTCTTGAGGAAGGTGGTTTCCTAATTTTCTGAGAAATCGCCATTCTGATAGCCAAAGCAGCTGTACCAATTTGCACTCCCACCAGCAATGCAAGAGTGTTCCCTTTACCTCACATCCTCTCCAACATAATTGTCATCAGTGTTTTTGATCTTGGTCATTCTTACGGGTGTAATATGGAATCTCAGAGTTGTTTCAATTTGCATTTCTCTGATGACTAAGGATGTTGAGCATTTCCTTAATTGTCTTTAAGCCACTTTAGATTCCTCTGTTGAGAGTACTCTGTTTAGGTCTGAACTCCATTTTTTTTTTAAATTGGATTATTTGTTCTTTTGATGACCAATTTCTTGAATTCTTTGTATATTTTAGAGATCAGCCCTCTGTCTGATGTGGGGCTGGTGAAGATCTTTTCCCATTCTGTAGGCTGTCATTTTGTCTTGTTGACCATGTCCTTTGCTTTCCAGAAGCTTTTCAGTTTCAGAAGGTCTCATTTATTAATTGTTTCTCTCAGTGTCTGTGCTACTGGGGTTACATTTAGGAAGTGGTCTCCTGTTCCAAAGTACTCAAATGTATTTCCCATTTTCTCTTCTATGAGGTTCAGTGTGGTTGGCTTTATGTTAAGATCTTTGATCCATTTGGACTTGAGTTTTGTGCATGGTGATAGACATGGATCTATTTTCATTCTTCTACATGTTGATATCCAGTTATGCCAGCACCATTTGTTAAATATGCTTTCTTTTTTCCATTTGATTTTTTTGCTTCCTTGTAAAAATCAGGTGTTTGAAAGTGTGTGGATAATATTTGGGTCTTCAATTCAGTTCCATTGGTCCTCCTGTCTCTTTTTATGCCGCTACTAGGCTGTTTTCAGTACTATAGATCTGTAGTAGAGTTTGAAGTCAGGGATTGTGATGTTGCCAGAAGTTCCTTTATTGTACAAGATTGTTTTGGCTATCCTTGGTTTTTTCCACATGATGGTGAGTACTCCTCTTTCAAGTTATATGAATAATTTTTTCTGGGATTTTGCTGGACATTGCATTGAATCTGTAAATTGCTTTTAGTAAGATTGCCATTTTTACTATGTTAATTCTACTTGCCCAAGAGAATTAGAGATTTTTTTTACATTTTCTGGTATCTTCTTCAATTTCTTTCTTCAAAGATTTAAAGTTCTTGTCATGCAGGTCTTCCACTTGTTTGGTCATAGTTACACCAAGATATTTTATGTTATTTGTGGCTATTGTGAAGAGTGATGTTTCTCTGATTTCTTTCTCAGCCCATTTATCATCTGTGTAAAGGAGGATTGCTGAGTTTTTTTTTTTTAGTTAATCTCATATCCTGTGACATTACTGAAAGTGTTTATTAGTTGTAGAAGTTCATTGGTAGAAATTTTGGAGTTGCTTATGTAAACTATCATATCATCAGCAAATAGTGAGAGTTTAACTTCTTCTTTTCCAATTTATATCCCTTTGATCTCCTTTTGTTGCCTTATTGCTTTACCTAGGATCTCAAGAACTATATTGAATAGATATGGAGAGAGTGGACAACCTTGTCTTGTTACTGATTTCAGTGGGATAGCTGGGAGTTTCTCTCTATTTAATTTTACATTGGCCATTGGCTTGCTGTATAATACCTTATTACGTTTGGGTATTTTTTTTGTATCTCTGCTCTCTCCAAGACCTTTATCATGAATGGATGTTGTATTTTGTCAAAAGCTTTTTCATTATCTAATGAGATGATGATGTGGTTTTTATTTGTCAATTTGGTTAATTGTGGATTACATTGACAGATTTTCATATGTTGAACCGTCCCTGCATCTCTGGGGTGAAGCCAACTTGATCATGGTGGATGATTTTTCTAATGTGTTTTTGGATTCTATTTGCCAGTTTTTTAATGAGTATTTTTGCATCAATGTTCATGAGTGAGATTGGTCTGTATTTCTCTTTCTTAGTAGTGTCTTTATGTTGTTTGGGTATCACAGTAATTGTAGCCTCATAAGAAGTGTTTGGCAAGCTTTCTTCTGTTTCTATTATGTGGAACAATTTGAGGAGTATTGTTATTAGTTCTTCTTTGAAAATATTGTCAAATTCTGAACTGAAATCATCTGGGATTTTTTTTGGTTGGCAGACTTTTGATGACTGTTTCCATTTCTTTAGCAGGTATAGGCCTATTTAATTTCCTTATCTGGTCTTGATTTAATTTTGGTAAGTGACATTTATCCCGAAAGTTGTCCATTTCTTTTATGTTTTCCAATATTGTGGAGCACAGGTTTTCTAAATATGATTTAATGATTTTCTGGTTTTCCTCCTGTGTCTGTTGTTATGTTTCCATTTTCATTTCTGAGTTTGTTAATTTGGATTATCTCTCTCTGCTTTTGGATAAAGGCTTGATTATTTTGATGATTTTTCATAAGAACCAACTCTTTGTCTCATTGATTCTTTGTGTTTTCTTTGTTTCTATTTTGTTGATTTCAGCTCTCAATTTATTTCCTGCCATCTAGTTCTTCTGGGTGAGTTTGCATCTTTTTGTTCTAAAGTTTATAAATGTTTTGTTAATTCACTAGTGTGAGATTTTTCCAGCTTCTTTGTGTAGGCATTTAGTGCTATGAACTTTCCTTTCAACACTGCTTTCACTGTGTTCTATAAATTTTGGTATGTTGTGTGTTCATTTTCATTGAACTTTAGAAAGTCTTTGATTTCTTCCTTTATTTCTTCCTTGACTCATTAATGATTCAGGTGAGCATTGTTTTATTTCCCTGTTTGTGGGCTTTCTGGAATTAGTATTGCTGCCAAGTTCTAATTTTAAGCCACGGTGATCTGATAAGACACATGGGGTTATTCCAATTGTTTTGTATTTGTTACCTAGTATGTGACCAATTTTTGAGAAGTTTCCATGATGTGCTGAGAAGAAGGTGTATTCTTTTATGTTTGAATGGAATGTTCTATATATGTCTGTTAAGTCCGTTTGAGACACAAACATCTGTTATTTTTCTTATTTCTCTGTTAATTTTTGTCTGACAGACCTGTTCAGTGGTGAGAGCGGAGTGTTGAAGTCTCCCACTATTAGTGTGTGTGTTTAATGTGTGATTTAAGTTTTAGAAGTGTTTCTTTTAAAATATGAAATGCTTCACAAATTTGTGTGTCATCCTTGTGCAGGGGACATGCTAATATTCACTGTATCATTCCAATTTAAGCATATGTGCTGCTGAAGTAACACATCTGAAAATAATATTCCATATTCTTAACCACTGTGCCTCTCTTCAGCCCCATACTTTGACCCTCTATGGTTATCTCTTACAAGATGTGAGCTCTTATGACCAGACACCTATCTTTGTCCATTGGTGAACCATACCCTTCCACAGGATGGTGGACATCTTAACGCTTTAGTTTGAATAAAATCTTTGTCAGGTACAAAGTACTATAAACAACAATTATGAGTCTGGTTAATGAGGGAAAATGAGTGGAATTATCTTTTTATAGGCTAAAACAAAACCCAGTTGAGAGCAAGGCAGGAAACAGTCCAAAGACCTTGACAGCAAACACCTCAATAATGGGCTCCTAGCAGCCAGTGTCTGGTCAAGATGCTGCACCTGAGACAAGTAAATGTTAAACATCTCTCTTTGGATATTTACAAAATTATTTTCATATAGAGAGGAATAAGCAGAAGAAAACAACTCATCTCCCGAAGGAGAAATCCCTCAACATTCTTTGTTTCTCGGGGAAACTGCTTCTAGAAAATCACTTCCTCTGGACCAAAGATTGGCCAGATTAAAGAGACTCTCGTGGCTCTGATAAGGTGTGTGAGCTAATTGAGGCCAATTAACTTAGCAGCAGATAAAGGCTGAGGCTAAATCCAACCCTGTTGCACAGCCCCATTTAAGAACTGGCTGAGTTGCAATGACTTTAGACCTAGAGAGAAGATCTGAGGTAATTAATTCCCAATGAGTTGCTGAGAAAACATAGACGCTGACTAGAGTGTTTGCATTGCAGGCATATTCATGTTTCAAATATTTTTAGCATTCATTCTCTTTGCAAAAATTCATACTGTTACCTATAGTGTTCAATTATATTTCAAACATAGTTGAATTCTCACTATTTCATAATCTAGGGGAAGAAATGTACTATTTCCCAGCAGCCTTTATTTCCATAATATTCATTTTCTTTCCTCTAATACCTAAACCCTGGTAGCTTTTCTCATGTATAAGATTGAAACAGAAGCAATGTTTTGAAAAGCTATTAAAAACTCCAATCAGGTCTTTGACATTTTCAATTTGAGTAGATTCCATTAATGGACCTGGTGAGGGCTGTCATTGAAGTGGCCCCTTTTTAAGCAGAGGAAGTTCGCTAACTTGGGGTGATAAGATATCCTAACAAATAGAAATCAGGGCTGGTGAGATGGCACCTGCCACCTAGCCTGATGATCTGATTCAGGTCCCAGAACCTATATGATGGAAGAACAGAACTTACAAAAGTTGTTTTTGGACCTCCCCAAAGACACATGTGCACCACATATATACCCATTCAAACTATATATTATTTATAATATATAAAATACATGTATTTTACATATGTATATGTAGTGGAAAATATTTTGTAAAAAGTAGAAAGCACTTTATAATCATATTAAAATAAAAATAGAGGTGAATATTAAAGTAACAGGGAGTGAACATAAAAGTTGAGATTCTGGAGTCAAGAAACATGTGTACATGTGTGTCGGGGTATATGTGTGTATGTATGTATGTATGTATGTATGTTTGTAGTCATGTTTTCTTAACTACTGCTTAATCAGTAGACAAGCATTCAAAACAAACTCCTGGAGCATATTTTACATTCCTGCCACAATATTTGCAAAAGAATTAGGGAATAATGGAAGAGAATATTCAGAATTTATAACATTTCTTGGGAAGACTTGAGTACTGATGTAATAAAACTCAGCTCAAAGTATTTTTCGTTGGCTCCCTGTGTATTTCCAGACTCGTGCTCTGAGTCCCACACTTGTGCCTGAGGTGAGCATATTAGGGAACTCTGTGTATAGAGGCGTGCCAGGACTAAATGAAGCAGAACTTCAAGAGTCTATGTCCATTCTGATTCGTGAAATCAAATCCATCCTCAGGTAAGCCCTGGATTTTGACCATAACTCTCCAGGGAATCAGAATGCTCATCCAAGTTAAGCAAGCCAGAAAATGACAGTCTTAAAGGTCAACCTAGGAGCAGTATTTCTTTAGTAGCACTTGAGAAAGCTTGGTGGAGAATGCAGTCCAAATCCATTTCTTCTGAGGACATGACAAGTGAAGCCAGGCTGATGTTCTTAGTTGGGAAGATTTTCTGTCGTATTAAGAAAGAGCTCTGAAGAAGTGTCCGTGAATTAAACTAAAGGAACACCAAAAAAGGTGATAGGAAATTGCCAGTGAGGACTTGTACAGTTAATACCCCAATTTTTCTTGCTTCATTCTGTATTTTTTTTTGAAAAAAGTAATAGCTAAAAGAGATATTTTATCATGTGGGATTCTATTCACTCCTAACACAAATAAGTTGAGTCATTTGTGATGCTTCCTTTTAGCTAACGGAAAAGGTAAATTTTAAAGGCCTTGAACCAAAGCTGTTTTCTTTTCGGCAGTGATAGAAGTTAAACCCAGGTTCTTTCTTCACACTAGACAAGAACTGTGCTGCTGGGTTCCATCCCTAACCTCTTTGCTTGATCTTCATTTTGAGATGGGGACTCACTCAGTTGTTCAGACTGAACTTAAGTCACTCTTTCACAAGACAGGCCCTTATGATCCAAGCAGATCAGATGCAAGAATGATCAGTGAAGAACTCTGTGGTGTTGGTGAACCTGATGGCAAATTTTCTTTAGATATAATAAAATCATTGCCCTTTAAAGTCTTTTTCCTTTCACGTCATGTAATAGAACTGGAGTCCAGTTCTGTGAGGCAAAATTGGTTAGCTGAACTATACAAAGCCCAGACATTTGGTCAGACCTGTCTTGTTTGGGGTAGTCAATATGCTGAGAAGAGCTTTGATCGTCCAAACAACTGAAGAAAAACAAAACAAAACAAAAACCAAAAAGGATGAGAATATGTCATAATATACAAATTACAAACAGGCACACACACACGCACACAGACACACACACACACACACACACACTTTAAAATCCCTTTCCCTGAATGTATATGCTTGTAGAGTTCTATGGCTGTGTTTGTACTGCCAAAGTATAGAGGGCTAATAACGTTGAGACTGTATCATGTAAAGTTCAACCATGCTTAACTTGTCTCACAAAAATAGGCTGGCATCAAGACCTCCGAGATTTAGAAATGAAAGTTGTAGCATGATTAATAAAAACACAGAAACAAAAATTGAGGTTCAACCTAAATGTGAGAAACCAAAACAGCCAGCCATTGGCTCTTACCTCTACTTCAATCCGAAAAGGCAATCCTGCCTCCAAGAATTTCAGAATGAGCCTGTGTGTGAGAGCTGTCTCCTCCCGTCTTATATTCCTCTCTAGTGCTGGGATTAAAGGCATGCACCAATACTGTCTGGTTTCTATGGCAAACTAGTGTGGCTACTGGGATTAAAGGTGTGTCACCACTGCCTAGTCTGTAAGACTGATCAGTGTGACTCTTTTACTCTCAGGCAAGCTTTATTTATTAAATGCAGATGAAATGTCACATTACAGAAAGTAATATTGGTAATCTATGTAGGAAAGAGGGAATTACTGTTTTAGCATGTTTCTTTTTGGAAGAGTCTCTGACTGATCCTCATCTCTGTTTGACTCACTAATTTACTTTGTTTTATTGTATATTTCTACATGTGTGTGTGTGTGTTTGTGTGTGTATGTGCCTCTGTGTATGTTTGTGTATGTGCCACTATGTGTGTGTGCCTGCATTATGTGTGTGCCTGTGTATGTTGATGTGTGTGTGAGCACACGTGTATGCTACAATGAGCATGTTAAGGTCACAAGACTGCTAGAGGATGTCAGTTCTCCACCATAATGGTTCCTGGGATTGAACACAGTCATCAGAATTGGCAAGCAGTCACCTTTACACACCAAGCCAACTCACTAACCGTGGCTTAGTTTTTATATTCTATAGAAAGAGATCCCAAGTGGCCTGGCTTAGGCCATTTTCTTTCCCGAACATTGACTATGAGATTCTAAGTGGAAAGAAACTTGATTAATGTCCCCATCACGTAGAAAGTTAGCAATAGGAACAGATGTCCCCTGGCCTGATTAGGGGGGCCAAAATAACATCAGAGTGGAGGACTCCCTTTTTTCCAAAATCAACAAAATCTGATTGCCACCTGGTCACATTCAGAGGCTTGCTGAACAGTGGTCTGCACACACTTGACACTGTGGCCTTGTGTCATTAAGATTGAGTGGATTCACTACCACTGATAGTGTTCACACTCATCAACAATGACACCTCTCATCTCCCCATAGCATTGAGACCACTGCAGTCATACCCAGACTGAGCCATCTCTAGCCATGGTGACAGGGCACCATAGATATTGCATGCACAGGTGTTATAAGGTTAGTTATGTTTTTTTTTTAAAGTGATCTGTTAAGGAAGCTAAACTGGAGAGTCCTTGGTGAGTTTGAAAATGTGTCTGTGACGGCCTAAAGAGATCAAGAGACTTAGAATAGGAAGCAAGGGACCCTTTTCATTACATTCAGAGGATGAATCTGACTTTCACTTCCAAGTGATACTGTCTGAAATTATACATATGAGTATAGGTGAGGGATGGGAAGTGACTGTTCATTGGCTACAGAAAGGTCCAGGTTGATAGTTTATGTAACAAAGAAATGGTAAAATCTAATGATCACTTAAGACATATGAGACAAATAAGAGAATGGCACATTTCTTACCAGGATGGGAGTTCATGTTTCTATGCAATATATGATTTCTGAAAAACCTATTCACAATGAGTGAAGAATGTGTCTGTGTGTGTGTGTGTGTGTGTGTGTGTGCACGTGCATGCCCACTAAAATGATTTTGATGATGATGATGGTGACCACGATGATAGTAGAATAACTGTTTTCCAATTTTCAGTCTTTGGGGAAAAGGATAATCATTTAGGAGTTGTTTGGTGGACTAGAGAGATGGCTCCGAGGTTAAAAGGATTTGCTATTCTTGCAGAGGAACCAGATTCATTTTTCAGCATTAACAATAATCTACTCAGAAATGCCTGTAGTTCCAGTTCCAGAGGTCAGAAGTTCTG